AGATTTGTGCAAGGACTGGGCTCATTAACATTTAGTGGAAACAGATCATTCAACTCTTGCAATAGCTTCTTGAAATATTTTCATCAACCTTGTATTTGGTTGCTGAAATATTGCTTTCTCAACTGTTACTTCATATTTCTTCTTGTTGTTAATGTAAATGTAAAATGTTGATTTCAAGTCCCATATATGCATAACCCGTGGGATATAGACAATGGGGTGGAGAGGGCTTGGAGATGGGGGTAGACAGGAGCTGGATGGAAGAAGTTAATGGGGGAAAAAGGAGAACCTATGTAACACTTTTAACAATAAAGATTTAAAATAAAAAAATAAAATCCCACAAATTAAATGTCCCTCTCTCCAAATGACAAAAATACTTTTTCTTTTCATGTGTCCAAAATATATTCATTTTTCAACAAGGTAGGTTCTTGATGCAAGTTGTTCTTATTATAGTTTTATTGTTTACTTTTCCCCAACTAAATAAGGAAGAAAATTAGTAATTAGAATATACAGAAAATAGAATATTAGGTATATAGATAACTTATGTTTTTTGATTCATTACAATAAAGGTTACTATGTTATCAAAATATTAGCAATACATTTAACTCAACTATTTTTAAGATTTTTACATCTCATAATTTTAGGGAAAATTTTGTGTTACAGTGAAAAACCCCTACATTATTTAGAACACACCCTTCCAGGTTACCTAATTCTAATTCCATGAGGACTTTAACTTTTATTAATTCGAGCTATTCTACAAGGTTTAGGTAAGTTATACTAATGCAAAATGTACAGGGGGGTAGCAAAAGTAGGTTTTCAGTTGTTGGTATGGAAAATAATGCAATAATTAATACATAATAATAGAAGAATAAACTGTTTTATGTACTTGCAACTGTAAACCTACTTTTGCCCCACCTTGTATCTTGTCCATAGACATGTAAATAAATTCTGCTGGTTAAAGATTCAAGTGAATTCTCCTCCTTCTCTGGAAAAAGCCAGTTTTGTTCCACTAGCAAATAAATTTCAATATTCTAAATTTATAAATGTGTCTGTTACTTATTGTCCTTTTTTCTGGTTGTAACATCTTACCCTGGCCTTCATTAATTAATTGTGTTCATTTTGTATGTATATGAAAGTCACTCGTTTCATTTTTTTCTTCAAACTATGAAGTTATGTCCACAGGATTGGTATTATATTTGTCTTTTTACATCAAAAATACAAATGTATTTCTTAGGTTGTATATAATTTAATTTCTAAAATTAGAATCTCCCTCTTGTTTTACTGCCCCAGCACAAGCAGATGTGCATAAAATTAGTATTTTGACATAAATTGTCTGAAACATAACTCAAAATTAAAATCAGTATTCTATTGTGAATTTTAAAAAATGTTTTCATGTATTTTGGTCTCCATTTCCCTAAGAATTCTGTTGATTGAAGAGGCCTGGGAAATAATCTTAGTGGATTATCCCCACATTAACAGCTCTTTTGCAAAATGCTATGTTAGAAAGATATATACGATGATGATAATATCCTCCATTTGGTGTGATGGGCCTAACATTACAAGGGCTGTGTGTCCAAAGGCAATTGCATTATATGTTTCATACCCCAAAAGTTTTAGATGAGATGTATACCATGATCTGCCTTTACACCACATCCCCTCTGAAGACATTGGAAAATAAAGAGATAGATTTCAAGAAAAATAATAAAGTTACTTACATGTAAATATAAATATACTCACAGTTGTTTGTGAAGCTAGAGATGTAATTACATCCTTCTTCTCTTCCTAAGGAGGCTAATGGAAATAGAAACACATTTTCCATTGCACAGTTGGCTCAAACCTGCCTCTTAGTAAAGTATAACCATCAGCAAGTGACTTAAAATATCTGAATCTCGTTTTCATCAATACATAGCAATGTCTGCTCAAGTGCTCTGCCACTGGAAAATGTAAGGTAGAAATAGTTGTGGCCCTTCAGGAGTAATTCTAGCGGCTGCATCTGTCTCTGAGGCAAAGCACATTTCTTAGATTCAAGGTGTTGGGAGAGTCATGCTAGCCTTAGTATGATAGTGGGCGGAGCTTTTAGGAAGAAGTCCAAACAGTGTTCCTTCTTTCTTCCTCTCCCACAGACTGAAACTTATTTATTTGATTCATTTGTCAATCTGTTCTCTTTCCTCTAGAAATGTGAATCCCTAAATATTTTCAGTAAATAGAATTGTTAGAAAAAGGTGCATATGAAGGTGAAATCATATTCATTTTGGGAAGTGCAGGGGAGGTACTTTGGTGTTTGGATCAAATTTCACTGTTAAATGAATTATTCTTGGAAAATTTTCTATTAAAATTCTTAAATTTCTGCCTGACAGGCTAAAGAAAGTAACTATTTCCCAAATACCTGGGTGTGGTTTTGAAGTATCTGTGTTCTAATCCTGTATGTTCAAAGAAAAAATAACTTCCGCTTCACATGCTAGCTTGCAGGATCTGAGACTTGCTGCTTCTGCTTCCATGTGATCAAGTGGAGTATAAAAGTTACAAGGGGATAAATAATGAGCCAGTGGGAAAATCAGATGTTTATTAGTGTGTTTTATTTTTATGGGGGGTAGGGGTTTGGTAGATGTGGTTTTCCCAGCATAGTAATGACACGCATATTTCAAAACAGCTTATTTCACCAAGCATGCATCTTTTTCAAAGGTTTGCTGTTTTGTTTGTTTATGTTCCTTTTTATTTGGTTGACCATCAGAGATGGACAGATTTGGAGATGAGGGCCTAAGTCATTCACTTAGGGTGGCTCTCATTTGCATATTATAGTAGTCACAAACTAAAAGCTCTCAAGAAAAATCATGTTTTACTTGGAAAGCAGTTTTTAAGAAAATTGCATCTGAATGCCTTGAGGTGGAGTATATGCTCCCTGTTTTATACCCAGCTGTCTTATAAAATTATGCTATGCTATCTGTCTGAATCCTATACGCATTTGAGTTTTTGGATACTTAGCCCATAAAACCAACAAGATTTTGTCATCAGTCTCTTGAGAACTCTGCTGCTTTTCAGCAGATAAAAGTTCTAAATAATGATAATAAAATCTTTCCAGAAAACTTCTTCTTTAGGATGGATGCCAAAGCTTTTGGAAAGGTTACAATGTGGAGCCCTTTGATACTGTAGCATCCCACATTTTCACCCTGTATTTCTTTGGAGTACCTGAAAGATGTGAGTGTGGTACAGTGGATGGATGAAACACAAAGAAGGGAATAGCAGAAATATGTTTAAATTATTTTCTTCCTTTTTTTCTCTTAAACTAATAGTGTTTAAAATAAATCAAATACATATTTTAATTGATAAACTGAATTTATATTCACCTATTGGAAACAGTACAACATATCTTACATCAGATTACGAAATATGGATGTTTTACTAAAAGACAGGAAGAGTTTTTCCAAGTCTTTAAAGTAAATACATATTCAAAGGATCTTAAGGCATACCATTTATTCATATTCATATCTATTGAAATACTGTACATCCACATACTTCAATAAATAGTTAAAAACCTGACCTCTTTTTAAATCATTTCTGAAATTCAAAAAACAATTTTTATTGAAAAGGTTAAATAGGTAACTTTTGGCTGTGTCACAAAGCTAAACACAATGGATAAATTAACAATATTCAATAAATTTGATCAATATAGATGATTGGCTTTGATAAACTTCTCAGAGTTTTCACACATTGGGGTATTTATGTATATATAATTTGTCCTGAATTATCTGGCTAATTTTCTCAGTTCTCCAGTCTACTTTCTAGATATAGTTTAAATGTCATGATGAAGCATTAATTTTTCAGTTAAGTTTTAAATCCTCCAAAAGTAGCTTTAAGTTTGACATTTGCTCTCTCAAATCTTTTAGAGTCCCCCATAATACACAATACTATAATTTGGGTAGCACTTTTCATTATATAATTGCTGCATAATAGGAACTTTATGGTGTAACAGGACTTTTGTTTTGAATAGGATCACTGTAAAACATAATTACACCATTTTCAATGAAACCAAGAATGCAAATGAACGACTACCCTAATATTCCAGTTCTTCCTCTCTTCCTCCTATTCTTGCTTTCCTTCCTTTTTCCCTTCATTCCTTTCTTCCTTCCTTCCTCCCTCCCATTCTCCATTCTTCCCTCCCCCCTTCCTTCCTTCCTTCCTTCCTTCCTTCCTTCCTTCCTTCCTTCCTTCCTTCCTTTCTTCCTTCCTTCCTTCCTTTCTTCCTTCCTTTCTTCCTTTTTATCCCACTGTCTTTACCTCCTTCACTTTTCTGTGTTTTCCTTTTCTTTCTACTATCCTTTCTTAACTACTTTTTATTTTTTTCTTTCTTCTTTCTTTGAAAAAGAAATTCAGGGCAACAAAAGGAATCCCACAAATGTAAGTTGTGGAAATATAATGCTGAAATGAATAGCTAGAAAAAAATTATTATACATCAAAAGATAAATCAATTTCATAAACTGCTATTCTGAAATTGCAACAATCTTGTACAGTCAGGACTGATAAAATGAAGTAATCAGACGTCTCATATGTCCATAAATGTAAAATCATCTACTTGAACATTATATGCAATACATTCACACAAAAAAGCAAATACTGTAGCCTTATTTGAACAATATTGAACTCATAAATACTCATGATTTCACTCTGTCCAGGGGTCTAGGAACTAGGAATGTTGTTGTGATACAGAAAAACATAGTGAATACCTCCTCTATTTAAAAATATCACTCAAGAACGTCTCTTCTAACATAAAGGCAATTACATATAGCTACTGAGCTATGACTGTACTTCTGTCACATTCTATGGTAATAACACCAGACTCCACAAATTTGGAATCATGACAACACTTTGAACTAATTATTTGGTTCATCCATAGTTTATATCTCGATTTACCTCACATTTACCCTACAAACCTTACAAAGAGGAGGTATTTTTAACTCTAGGAAAGCGGTCACTGTATAATATGCATTCTTGATCTGTTTCTTTCTCCCAAACAATGATACTGATGGTTAACACTTTTGTGGTAGCACCACTATTTCTAGTAAGTAGATTATTATGGAGTGTGCCACTTTAAAGCTGCAATACAAAAAAACAAAACAAAAACCAAAACCAAAAAAAAACTTTGTAATTTGCTCCCAAATTCCACAAAGGATATTTTAAAAAAACCAGGTCAATAATAATCAAAGTTAGAATGCTGTATGTATTTAAGAGAACATTTTTAATACATCAGTCAAAATAATGTAATAAATTATTAGTGAGTAAATTTAATAGCATCATGCCATGTTATTGCCATTTTGTGCAAACATTGTATATATATGCCTCCTCATTTAGGATTCATTTTTCTAATTAAAATAGATTTATGGTGTACTTTGGGACTAATTTTACTTGGAAAAAAAAACACAATTTCCAAGTTATTTCTTTCTGGGAAAAAATATTAGATATCCTAAATATGTATAATTTCTATGGAATTTCCTGTATTTATCTTTATTAGTAAGTTTTTGGTGTTTTTATGGCTTGCAAAGGGGACTGACTATTTGCAGAAATCTCTGTTGGTGTAATGAAATTGGTAACTTTATCAAACTTGTAAAATGACTTTCAAGGCTATGGCCTTTTTTTAGTAAAGAATAAAACCATCAAACTATTCCTGTAATATAAACTACTTCTTAAAGTAACAGCATTTTCCTTAAAAAATGTAGTTTTCACTGTGATATAATTTAATACTTATGATAATTTAATAGTTAATATCTTAAGATATTCTCATCACTGGTCTTGTCTTCATTTGATCATATCATCCTTATACCATGTAAGAAAAAGATAAAGCATGGCAATATTTTTTTCTTGGCCTTACTTGTTTGGGTTGACATGGCTATAGAGAATTATTACAGAATTTATTACAGAATTAGTTATTTTAGGGATTGATGTGCTGCAGACCAGCATGAAACATTTGTTGTAATATATTTTGAACAATTGTTTTATATAACATGCATCCCAAACTATCAACTGAATGATGTTTTCAGATGAAAAATATGCAAAATGCTCCAGTCAACAGGAGCACCTTCTCATACCACCTCTCCTGCCATGGAACCAAATTAATTTTGAGTGCTTACCAAGTCAGGTAATATTAGGTGATTGGAATTTGTGTCCTTTCTGAAAAACCATCCTAGCAATTTGGCTTGGAATGGTGAAAGGAAAAGGTGGATTGCTGGGCAATCTATTGGCTGGACTGTGCTGCCATTTTAAAGGGAATTATTTCCCAAAGTGGGTCTAATATTTAGCTACATTGAAATAAATCATATGTCAAAGTTACCTGTATTATGTTAATTAAATTGTTTTTTATCACAAAATTGAGTTATTGTGGGGCAAATTTCACAAACCCCACTGGTAATGAAGGGATTTTTACAGTCCTATAGCTACTTTACTCTTTAGAGATCGGATATGGTTTAACTTTATCATTATAGTTTATTTTTGTCTTCAATTGTAGGGTTTGGCAATATGTTTTTATTAGTTGAAGGCAAAGAGAGAAATACTTCATGAAGGCACACCCATGCTGAACTTACAGGAAAGAGAAGCAGAGCTGCACAGCCAGTTATATTACAAGGCTCATTCCTGAAACCTGAATATCATGCGAGCAGAAAAATCTAGATATGTGTGTGTTTTGAAGAAATGATCTGAAGGCAATACTATTTGCTTTTTTTTTTTTATCAAAAGAGAAAAAATGCATCTTTGTAAATGCGGATTGATTCTTATTGAAACAGGGAAATGAATGCTTGTATTGCAGCCTTAAAGAATCACATATTCACTGCAATATTCGTTTTTGTAAACTACAGCCTGCAACCTAGCAGACCATGACTGAATGCTTTTGAAAAGTTGTAGATTACAAACATGAAATCACAATTAATATCCTCTAAAAGTAATTTCAGAGCCTTCACATCTTAAAAAAAGGACAATGTGTACTGCTTCACAAGGTAATGTAGCTAATCAAAAAAAGAATAGAATTAAAGTATTTACATAATGGGCAATTCTACAGAAGGCGATCATCCCCTTGTAAGCACTGCCGATTACATCCCACGCTGCTTTTCACAAACGGTACCAGATTGGACCCAGCCATCAGCACTTTCGGAGAATTCTTAAGAGCCTTTTATGGGTCTTTACACTTATTGTAGAATGGCATTCTTCAGGTGGAATATGCTGGTGAAAGAGGACAGTGTCAACACAAGGTACCAGCAGGAGATAAGAACGTCGGCGCTGCCGGTAATTCCATACTGGGCTGTACTTGGAGCTGGAAAGAAATGGAGAAAGACTAAATCAACATCTAATTCGTGTCTTTCAGGAGCTTAACGATAATCAAAAGGCAGCTGTGTATATTGGGGAGAGCCCTGGTGTTGGAGGCAGGCAGAATTAGGTTGACATCTGTTTCTGCTGTAGGACAATGTGTGACCTATTCGACTAACCTTTCTGAGCCTCATTTTTCTTAAGGAAAAAAACAGAAGTGATAGAATCCACTTGGCAGGGCTGCAGTGAGAACTGGAGACGAAGTACATATAATAACACATTGCACTGGGCTGAACGCATGCTAAATACTTACTATTTCACAGCTAACATTATTCCTCTTATATGCATTGTTAATATTTGTAGTAGTGAACAATATTCACTTATGCATATTTTTCAAAAACATTTTTTATTGAGATAAAATTGACGTATGACATTGTGTAAGTTTAAGATGTACAACAGTGTTGATTTCATACATTTATATATTGCAATATTAGTACCACCATAGTATTAGCTAACACCTCTATTATATCATATAATTATCATTTCTTTCCTGTGGTTAGAATAATTAAGATCTAGTCTACTAGCAACTTTTAAGGTTATAATATAGTACTTTTGAATATAATTACTATGACGTGCATTAAGTCTCCAGGACGTAATCTCTTGATGAGTTCCAAGTTTATACCATTAAACAACAATCCCAAATTTCCCCACCCCTAACCTCTGGTAAACACCAACCTACTCTCTATTTTTATATGTTCAGCTTTCTTAGATTCAACATATAAGTGACATTATACATATATATGCACATATATTTGTAAATCTTTTTTACTGGTAAAATATTGTACTAAATGCTGCAACAACAGCCAAAACCGGTTTGGCTCAGTGGATAGAGCATCGGCCTGCAGTCTGAAAGGTCCCGGGTTCGATTCCGGTCAAGGGCATGTACCTGGGTTGCGGGCACATCCCCAGTAGGAGATGTGCAGGAGGCAGCTGATTGATGTTTCTCTCTCATCGATGTTTCTGACTCTCTTTCTCTCTCCCTTCCTCTCTGTAAAAAATCAATGAAATATATTTTAAAAAAAATAAAATAAATGCTGCAACAACAAATAAGTTCTCTCTTCCAACAATGTTTTTGGCGGTGAAGAAAGATATTCAAAATTATAATACAACCCTAGAAATATCAGAGCTGCATGTGCAAACTTCAATGACACAGAAAATTGTGTATTTAAATCTGTCTGTGCAAAGGAGGGATAATTTAACAGAGAATTTTATCGTAGGGGATGGTCATTTGGGTAGAGGTTACAATATATTCAAAAGCATGAGGAAAAGAGAGAACACAACATATTCTAGGATCTAAAAGTAGATCAGTATTGTTGCACCATGAAAATGGAGGCCTGAAGTAGAGGGAATTAAAACTGGGACTCTAGGCAGATAGAATGATCTTAACTATAAAGAAAAGAGTTTAGCTCTTTATAATAAAGGAAATTTTGAAGGCTTTGGAGCTGTTGAATGATATGATTACATTTATTTACACATTAGAAAGATCACTGTTTTATACATCAGAAGCTCATGTGGTACCTGGCTAACAGACATGTTGAATATTTACTGAGAGATTTCACCCAGAGACTGACCACACTTGGGAGTCTACTGAATGAATTCCACTTTATTTCACAAGAGAATAGTTACCTCTTTGAATGCGAATTAAATTGTGTTCCAGAAATTGAATGTCGCAGACATGCTCAGCCTTGCCTGAGACTGATTCTCACTTACCATAATAATTATAACAGCAATAATAAAAGAAACCTCACCAACATACTTTTAACTACTTTTTCTTAATGAAACCTGGATTTCAAGCACTGTTTTCTAATACAAAATAAATAATGTAATAAAAATATATTATTTCACTGCCAAATCCATAACTCAAACCAGGAAGCAGTTTTAGTCACTGAATTTGAATTACCAGCAGGTAGTTTTTAATGGAACTTTCACCAAAGACTATATTTCCAAGTTACAAGAAGAATAAATTGCCTTGTTTATACCTCTAAGAAATTAGAGGGGATGACAGATGCATTGGACCCTGCCAGTGGGAAGTTTTCTTCACATTACAATTGTTGGTTCCAGGTGAATGAGATTCAAGGGCTAAGATTACTACTCTTTAGTAAACACAGAGCAAAATCAACTATTTAATGCTTCTATTTGCATCACAAATGAGTCCTAAAGAATGAAAAGATTATGAAGAAAACACATCTTTATCATTGGACAAAGGTTTGATATATAAGAAGTCTAATATAAAACCACAAAACTCCTTAAATTACTTTCTCTTGTTCAAGCTTAGAAAGATGTTGTATTTTTTAAAATATAAATAAATATTTAATTGGTCTGTTGCCTTCTCAATGACAGCTATTTCAGAGTTATTTTTGCTGTGGTTTTTAAAGAATCTTGAGTGCAATCAAACCAGTATAGCAGTAAAGGACTAATAACAAACAAAGCATATAAAATGATTTCATAAATAAGAAATAAATCTCAAAAACTAAGCATGTATAACAAAGATAAAATTTTATTATCTTGACTAATTAAATAGTGCATTAAGTGGGTAGACTATAAAGGGCCCTCAAAACTCCATATCTATTCTTTAAAGTGCATTTTGGGGGCAATCTTTTCTAAATCTCCTCTTCTCCAACAGGCTGAGTAGATTACCCTAGTGTGTCATTAGGTCACCATATATATTTCTTTTTATATGACTGTAACACTGCACTGTTAATATATTTATACATAATCTATTTTACTAGATTGTAAACTCTCCTAGTTCATGTTTTATTTATTTTGATGTTTCCAGACACAAAGTCTGGCAAAGTCTAGTACCTAGTAGATGCTTAACAAATGTCTGTTGAATGAACAATTCATTTAAATAAATAAATAGGCCAGAATTAAAAGGGGTATTTTTCTCTTATAAAAGGACTTTCTTCTAAGGCAGTGGTTCCCAACTTTCCTAACGCCACGACCCTTTAATACAGTTCCTCATGTTGTGGTGACCCTCAACCATAAAATTATTTTCGTTGCTACTTCATAACTCTTAATTTTGCTACTGTTATGAATCATAATGTAAATATCTGATATGCAGGATGTATTTTCATTGTTACAAATTGAACATAATTAAAGCATAGTGATTAATCACAAAAACAATATGTAATTATATGTGTTTTCCGATGGTCTTAGGCGACCCCTGCGGACCCAAAGGGGTCGCGACCCACAGGTTGAGAACCGCTGTTCTAAGGTAAGCCACCTGCCTACAGGCTAGTAGAGAGTCTTCAATACACCTCTTTCAGTCATCCAGCAAATAGGCACTGAACTAGGTACCAGGCTCTGTACAAAGTACTGGGAATACAAAGGCTAATATGATAAACATGGTTCTTTTGTTCCTTAATTCCATATATGGCCATATGTACTCTATATTCTCCTTTTTATCATATACCTTCAATGCCATCTTTTCTCCCTATATGCTTTTACCTTCTACCCAGTCTCCTATTGTGTTAGATAAAGGTATATCAATAATATATTTAAAAATTAAATATTACTTTGCAACTAACAGAGTATATATTTGTCCATTGATGTCTCATATTGATGTACTTTTTAGTTTTGTGAATGCAATACTTCTATTAGTCCTAAAATAAAGTAGGAACCCGTTGCTGCATTGTTAGCATGCAATTACTATAAGAAATGAACTGTAGAATAGCTATTGACAATTAGTAGGCCAAAAAACGGAGTGGAGGTAGTCAAGGGAATGTGAGGTCAATTACCTAATGCCAAGTCATCTATCATGATTCATACTCCTTAAGTAGATGTTGAACATCTTTCATGTGCTGGGAATTGAACACAGCTAAAAATTAATACAACTCAATCTCCACACTAGGAAAGGTTCATTCTATTTGAATATATAAATAAAAATCAAATATAGAACATTAGAATATATATAGTGAAAAAACATGAGAGGGCTCTCCAAAGAGTCATGGTAGAGGTGAGTAGTCTAGGCGGCAGATACAAATACAATTATTTTTCACAAAATGCAATGATATACACGTGCTAGTACATGTATATCTCACTGTAAAAAAATGGTGGCATTGGGGTTCATTGACTTGGGGTATCCTATTACTATATAACCTTAGTTCCATTGACTGATATTTATTTGTGTGTGTGTGTGTGTGTGTGTGTGACTTGTTGACTCAGTGATTTAGAGCACAAGACCAATAGCACTAAACTTAGGAGTCTCAGTACTACTTGGACTAATTAGATTTGCTTGGCATGTTAAATCCCAATCAGCTACATAAGAAATTATAGGAAATCTTAAGAAATTACAGAAAATAACTGTTAGTTATTAGTAATTAGTTATTAGAAATTAGCTTCAAGACCCAGTTCAAGTATCCTCTCCTTTAAAAGAGAAAACTCTTTATAAAATCCCACTTGCCAAATTAATTTGGCATCATTTTTGATATCTTATTTACATATCAATCACATCATATTTACATATCAATTTTTTTCATTAGACCAAGAATGTCAAACCAAGATTTATTATATGCATCTTTATCATTGGTATTGAACACAGTCTGCTACTTAGTAAATGTTCACTAATATTTATTGAATACTGATAGCCCATTTCCCAAACTATCACCGTAAACATACAAGGAGGTACAGTGCCTTGAACACTTTTCCCAGAAGAATATTGCTTTTCACCATTCATTGATTACTTTCTAAGACTTGTACAGAGTCAGAATACTTCCCTTCAGTATTTGAGCAAGAAATAAATCTTGAGGCAGTCTATATAACGGAAGAGCAGGCACCCGACTTTGTACCTCATCCTCTTTCAGCAAGAGACTGGGAGTATAGGTAAACTTATGGCCCTTAATATACATCTGAATTTCTTAAGAGACATCCAACTGTGCCTTTGGGATGGTCATATCTTTTGTATGTTCTTTGCCATGTTTTTAGTTGCCTGAGAATATCATACTGCTT